TCCAGAAACTTGTAAGAGAATTTTTGAGAGATTTTATTGTTTTTTTTTTTAATTTCAGTTTGTTGAAGTTTCTGTGGCTGGCTCACTTCGTGAATAATATAGAAAATGAAATTATATAAATGTTAAAAATATTTATATAATTTCATTAACATTTAACTTAAGTACATAACATTTAACTTCACTAAAAACACTTATCTTCACTAAAAGCGAATTTCACATATTCCACATACTCTTTTATGGTAAGTCAAATTATCTCAAATGTATTCTCTATATTTCGCGTAGAGCCTTGTAAATGCAAATTTAACGCGGACTGTAATATTTTTGTAATAACATTTTCTCGGTATGTGCCTGAAAGTATCATGTGCGAATGGTCTAAAATATCTCCTTATCTCCGTATCTGCGCCTTAAGGAAAAGGTGAAAATGCGTACTTTAATGTCATTATTTTCGCACGCAACGCAGATTAAATGGTAATGAAGGAGATCCCCCCCCCACATTTTTCTCTTTCAGCGGAAATAATTGCAGTCGCGTTGAAACTTCAATCGCGATTACGACGTTTTAATGACAATAATATCGGCACTAATGCCACGGCTAAAAGGGTCGGATGGAAGAAGGAAATCGCGCGCGCGAGTGTGCGAGCGAGACAGGGGAAAATTAAAGGAAACGATAGTCGTAAATAATGATCGCGCGCCTCGGTGTCGCTCGCTGACTGAAATTACCGTGTTACCTGTTTCAGTGTGCAACTGCAATCTCCACGCGAGAAAGTGCAGATTCAACATGGAGCTGTACAAGATGTCGGGTCGTGTCAGCGGAGGCGTTTGTCTGCAGTGCCGGCATTTTACGGCAGGAAGGCACTGTCATTACTGCCGCGAAGGTTACTACAGGGACCCGGCGAGACCGATCACGCATCGCAAGGCCTGCAAACGTAAGTGCCCCCGCGTCTCTCCCCCTCCCCCCCTCTCCCCCCACCTCCCCCCTCCTCGGCGGGCAATTACATGTAAATCCAACAAAGACATCTCGGCGCGACGCGGAGCAATTACGCTCGCGTCGGGTAACCCCCGCGCGATTACCCCCGTGGCACGCTTAATTACGGAAGTACCACGACCGTAATCTCGCAGGCGGGATTAGTAGGCGACGATAATGGCGTGTAGGATTTCTAATTCTTCACGCGTCTCAATGTACGCGCGTTAGAGCGCCAGCATCTACCGCGGGACACGCTCGTCGGGCTAATTAAGACGGATCCCGCGGGTCACAGAGCTTTCTCTATCGCGCGAAACGATGATGACGAAAAATCTTCGATTCGAAAGCACGATAACGCTAACGAGAAAAATAATCGGAAAATACGTCAAGTTCTCGCTCTCGCGAGAAAAGGAGCTGCGAATAAGAGAGTTCTGAAAGAGTTGACACGTCGATAATGTTGAGAGTTTCACTCGTATAGTATTTGTCCGAAATTAAAAAATAAATATATATATATATATATATATATATATATATATATATATATATAATAACAA